CACTTTTACAGTAAGATGTTCTTTTAAAAATCTCTCATTTGTAGAGTTAAAAAAGGCTAATGTGTCCAAAGTAAAGGAGGCACAGCCCATCGCACTCATCTGCAGATAGAGCACAAACACATCCATTAAAAACATCCAATACAAAGACTATGATGAAAATGTTTTCATAAATGTAACACAATATAAAATAATACAGTCACACACCTCAGTAGTTTCAACCAAACATGGTGAAATCAAGTCTGTTTGAGAAATGTGTCTCAAATCTTCCCGACAAACTTCCACTCTTGCTTTACCAGCCACTGGTTTACCAAATGTGTATCTATAAAGTGCATGCTTTGAGTAATTAAGGATATCATAATGAAAAAAAAGTTTTTTAATTGTATTTTAGAATTTTAACGCAATAAAACAGAAGAAACCTTCACTTACTTTCCACAAACCTCCATATTCATATCACTATCACCAAAAGTTATTTCTTTTGGAGCTTTCATGGTCATTTCAAACTTGGGTAAAACTGGAAATCAATTACAGGGAATCAATTAAAAAGGTCATGAATAAGATTTAATGATGCAAAAACGTTCTGTGATATTGTCACTTACCATACTTCTTCACCTCAAAATAATGTGTGATCGCCTGTTCACCAATATAAGCCTTCAGTTTATAAATGCCTTGACGGGCCTCTGGGTTCAACTCATGAGAAAGCTGCAATATCCACCTTGTTGAGGAAATATTTTTCCACTGACCAATCCTGTTATTCTGATTGTCCTGTTTGATCCCAAAGAACACACAGTGCCGATATAGGTTGGCTTTAATCATCTACATAGATCCTGACCATTATTAATAATCTGTAATCACTGAATATTTAATAACTGTAAGTTCGATCAAATTTTTGTTGTGCATGACATGAATGGCTGTAAAAGATGGGTACCATGTGCTTACCTCCAGCACGACTGTACTGTACTAAAAACATACAAACAAACAAAAAATTAATTAAAATTTTTTTAAAATCCATTGCAAATAATATATTTATTGCAGGGTGCATTATGGGTACAGTGCACAGAAAATAATTATTTTTAAAAAATATTGCTTTTGCTTGATACAAACCTTCTGATCAAAGGGTACAAAATTTCTATCCATGGTGACAACTCTGAAATTCACTGTGAAATGAGTGATATGTTATAACATAAGATTACAAACTTCTCACTAGTCATTTCTGAGATGCAGTGCAACATTAGAGGCTCTGAGAAATGTGGGAAGAAAATGTCATTTGAATCTAATTAAAAAATTAATGAATTCAAATTGAATTTGATTAAAGAAACACTGACTAAATTAAATCTACTTACTCCATAAATACCAGATATATTAGATAGAAAACAATGTCACTTCCAAAATAACGCGTATGTAGTACAAGTAAATATGTGAGCAGACCACACATTTTAAAGTAATTCTTCAGAAATGGCATTATAAATTTAATGTGTATAGTTAGATATTTATAGTGTTATTGTTACATATGTAATGTACATAGATGAATGTGTGAGTAACAGTTTAGATATAGAATAGTTGTTCATTTTAGGGGTAAATAAAAAAAACAGTTTGTGATATATTTGACAATTAAAACAATATTTTTTAAGATAGTTTTGGTTTATAAGCTTTATATACTTAGCACTATTGGATGCAAACAAAAGCAAGCAGCATGAAACAGCCCAGTGGTTTGGGGTGTGGCTACTGTGGGCTATATCTATTGTGCTAATGCCCACATGCTCTTTTCCTAATGACATCCCATTAAAACACCATCAACAGTGTGAAACAAACTAAACAACCTCACTATTCACTGAACTTCAAATCTCAAAAATTAACAACTCACCTGTCTGTCCTGGAATATAGATGGGTTTATCAGTCTGGATGAAAGTCAAATGGTTGTAACGTCTGAGCATGACTTTTCTCTCTTCAGTCATCTTGAAGTTCATCCCCTGAAGTTCCACCTTCATTGTCTGCACTGATTCTGCTTCTACCAGAGGTGTCTGTTGGGTGATATGTTATTTTAAATCTTGACTAAAGTGTTCAATGATGTGTGAATGCACATTTCCTGCTGGCAAACCTGAATGTTAAAGCAGCGGTGAAACTCTTCCTCAGCTTTCTCCTGCAGCAGTAAAGTGCTCTGGTCACCATGAACCAGATAAATGTTCATGACAAGGCTTTCATTGGGCTTGAGAAGACTTGCACACAGTTTAGCTTCAGATCCTGACTCGATCACTGCAGGAAACGTCACCATGAAAGACCTGTTGAGAGATATCATAGCATAAAGAGATTTGCTTGTCCACAGTTCTACCACTTTTGTATTCCAATACATATTCTAGAACATTCTGCACTTCAGTGTAAGCAGTTCCCATCTGTGCTAATATAGTATTTTTATTTTTAAATTAAATTGCATAGTATAGTTGAGAACATTTTCAACCTTTTAAGGATCCTATTCAAGTGCAAATTTCACACAAAAAAAAAGACTAGATATTACAAAGATATTACTAAACAGTTACCATTCAAAGTTACTTACGGCCCTGAGGCTTGTCCATGGACAGAAAGGAAGAGCAAAGAAACTAAAAGGAGCCCTTTCCAAATACACAGCGCATTGAAAGCCATGATGAAGGCTGATCGTGCAGAGCACACTATGAACAAAACTTTGACTGTGTCTTTATTTTAAAGGCCACTCATTCCAAACAAGCTATTGAGAAATTATTTGCATTCATCATCAAATTAATTATTGATTTCTGGAGTTACTAAACATGCCTTCCCAGTTAGTGCTTTGGGCCACTGTGCAAAGGTCTAAAGACATTGCTTAACTACTCCTTCTAGCATCATGCACAGTCTGAATTATTTCAATTCTGTAAGATAAAAAAAAAAGTTTTAGTACCAGATATCATCCAAGGATGATACATACAGTATATATTTGTTCATACTGTGAAATATAAACAATATAATATAAACAGAAACATTTGATAAAACATAAGACTGCATTCATATTTAGTTTTTAATATTGTTTCATCATCACACATGTTGCAATCAGTGAAAAACCATGGTCACTGACCTGCTGGCCCTGTTTACACAGTATACTCGCATATGAGTAAAAGAGGGGCTACTGGTCAGTTTGTATTAGAAATCAATCTGAGCAGCTTTTTTCAACCATTTTTAAAAATAAAACATCATCAATATCGTGTAACAAGTACAAGTGTGCATTTTAAGTACTTTTCCAGTAAAAAAAAATTCACACCTGAAGAACTTGCGCTCTCATGGAGGCTGCCATGTTAAGATCACATTCCTGCATTTTGACAGTTATTAAACAAACTTGGAACTATAGCAACCCTACTAAAATCGGAATTTTGTTAACCAAATAGCTATTGCCATTGCAATATCATGGCAAAGTGAGTCATTGTTAGGGTTGGGACATTTCTGTAATAAAAAAGTAGTAGTAGTAATCTCTTATTGGCCTGTTTAGCCAATAAAATAAACAAAATAAACAAAACCCCTGTAAATTAATACAAAAACACACATTATACAGATACGATTTGTCATTGCATTTGGTAGATTAGACTTTCAAGAAAACATTTGCAAATGGTTTGTAAAAGGTGTTTTTATGCATGTTTTGACCAACAGGCATGACCAGCTTGTTGTGAATCAAGTGCTTCGAAGCTACATCTGAACCCAAATTTAAATTTGTTATTATTTATTTACTCACCTTCAGGCCATCCAAGATGTACATGAGTTTGTTACTTCATTGGATCTGATTTGGAGAAATTTAGCATTACATCACTTGCTCACCAATGGATCTTCTGCAGTGAATGGGTGCCGTCAGATTGAGAGTTCAAACAATAATTCACAAGTAACTCCAGCCCTTTTGGTTAGGTTGAAGTAAGCCTCATCCATGTATATGAGGTTGTGAGGTGGTTCACTTGAATCCAACCACTGTGGCTCTCTCTGAAAATAATATTTTTTATGATTTAAGAAAAAATAAAGGGTGATATATTGTAGGCTGTTAGATGCTAGTATATAGTAATAATTTAAAAAACAGAAAGATTGTTTTTTTCTGAGTAATAGTTTCCTTGTTGTATTATGTAATTTTCTTCATCTGGAAATGCATTAAACCCCTCAGCACACACACAATGTATGCTATAAAAACCCAGCAAAAGCACATTCCCATTGATTTCTCTCATTTGAACCCGGCCCACAACATTAGATGTTTCTCTCAATTTCAAATAGTTAATAGAAGGATTATTCACACAAAACGCAAATACATTCAAGTAACAATGATCACAGGTAAGAGCTTTTGAATTGTTTTCTGTTATGAATCTTTTACAGTCTTCAAACTGTTGATCCTGTCAACCTGTCAACTATCTGTATAATAGCTCAAATTTGTGTATATATATATATATGTATATATATATATATATATATGACTTTAATGCTATACTGTTTATTTTTATTAGTTTGTTTTATTTGAGTACCATTTGTGACTTTAAAGACTAAATAATGGATATTATAATTTATATTTTAATTCTTATTCTTGACTCTTGGTGTGAGAGAAAGTCCTATAAATATAAACATCTGTTGAAAAAAAAACAGTTCCATATTTATGAAATTAAATTCTATTTTTGTTTTAGCTGGTTTATTTTTATTGCTTCACACAGAAAGGCACTTGAATCTAGAAATTATTGTTGTCATCCTCATGTTCTTGGGTAAGTATCAAACACAAATCTCATATAGGCCTTTAAGTTTAAAGTGATTTGATTAAAGTTACACTTTTTTAATCTTCAAGATGAAAGTTTTTAAATCACCCATGGTCTCTATACATATAATGTCTATCATTTAAAAACATTTTTTCTGAATCATTTTACACACTTTCAAGGAACTATAACACTATTTTACTATCAGGAGAGCACTGGTATTTACGTTAATGCACATTCAAATCAAAATACAATACATAAGAATGATTATTTTCTTCCACAGCTGTCTATTCCCAAAAGAAACCAGATTTTGGAGCACTCACAGCCTGTGTCACTAAAAACCAAAGCCTAACAGTTGATTGTTACTACCCACCTTGTGACAACACACCCTTTTACTGCAACCTTTATGATGGTGAGCCACTAATTGCTAGCTCAGGCAATGGTAAACAGCGATGTTTCATTCTATGCTACATCTGAAGTATGTCGACTTATTATCAAAGATCATGCCAAGATTTACCATAACCAGACCAAGACTTATGTATGCGCTCTGTCACGGAGAACAAGTGAAGAAGAGAAGACACTCATTGTGAAATACACTGGGAAAAGTTAGTGTCAGTTTCTTAAAACTTAATCTCGACCAATAAATAATGGTTAATATAGTTGGAATGTTTTTGTAAAACATGTAAAAACATGGGCATTTTGTGGCAAATGGCGTAGCTATATTCTGTCAAAATACTGTTTATCTAGTTTGTTGAGTTCAGAATTTTGCATTCTTTCTTTCTTTCTGTCTTTTTACATCAGTTCATTATCCTCCACCCTTTAACAGATTAATCATCTTTTTTTCAGAGCGACCAAAGGACTGCCCTGGAAGTGGACCATTACTACATGTCTCCAAATTGCTGTGGTTAATAGCATTTGTTTTCTTCCAAGAAACGTGTAAAGTTTGTAAAATCAAACATCCTTCTCTACTCAAAACCTACTCGTAGGTATAGTGGAATTGTGGAATGGAAAATAAATGACAAACTCAAATAACAGATTAAATAGTGTGAAGCAAATTAGACTTAAACTTATTAGGAACACAACCATTAAGGGTTCAATCTGTTTAGTAGCTATCCAACTTATTCTTCAATGCAGAAGTAAGCCTATGGGAGAGACTTCCGGTTCATTAGCCGCTATAGGGAAATAATGAGAAGAATAACAACATGCAGTAAGCGGTAAAACTGATGGTACAAACCATTTTGTTCATAATTAAGATAATACAGTGATCAGACACACCAATTTGCAATATAAATCAGCAAAACAAGCTGTTTTGTACAGCTAAAAATAGCTGGATGCAGCTGAGACCAGAAGCCAGACCCATTAAAGTTACAAATGGCTGCGCCCGCTCTTACAGGAAAAGTAAGGTAATAACAATTTACAACAAGCCTTTATTGGTGTTTCTTCAACTACATGCATTTGGTCCTGTGTCTAAAAGCACACTTTTAACACTCTTATAGTTTCATATACTAACAATGTTCAACAGTGTATGCATGCATCATGAGACAATTGTGTGTGTGTGTGTGTGTGTGTGTGTGTGTGTGTGTGTGTGTGTGTGTGTGAGAGTGTGTGTGTGTGTGTTGTTGTTGTTGTTGTTGTTTTTTTCCTGAAAGCCATAAACAAATAGGCCTAATGTATGTCACACTGTTACCACATCTCAAATTATGTATCATGTTTAGCATTTTGTCATGAAAATGACATTTTTGGATTTGGAACTATATTGTTAGCAGTTTTCCCCAAAATAAACACTATGTAAAGTAAAGAAACATGTGTGTTGTTGCTCTGGAGTCTCCTGCCAGCACTACCTTTTTCTAAAACTGCAACCTATGGACTCTCCAGAAGTACAAGGGGTCAGGTTCTCTGAGACTTATGTTAGGAAAATAATCCTAAAAAATGACCCTCACTTAGTAAGAATCACATGCTGAAGTGTAGTAAAATACATGAAAATATATAAAGCCTATACATTTTATAGGCTTTATATACAGATGAGAGTGATTCTTGAATGACCAGCAACACATCGTCTTGTACCACTGTTTGAAGAATCTATAAGAATCTGGCAGTAAATTTTGGGAGTTCATTCTTAGTCCATCTTAGCAAGACAGACTTTTCAGGACAGGAGATCGACTAAAAATTAACTCACAAAACTTACTGCCAGATTCTTGAAGATCAATTCTTCAAACAGTGCTACAAGAGGATGTGGTGCTAGTCCTTCAAGAGTCACTCTCAAATATAGCATATAAAAATCAGTCTTCATGAATTTCACAACACTTCAACATGTTATTCTTAACTAAGTGAGGATCATTTTTTAGAATTTTTGACCCAAGCAATGTCTCTGAGAACCTAACACATTATAGTTTTGGAGACTCCAGGTAGGTTGCAGTTCTGGAAAATGGTGGTGTTGGAGACTAAATGGTTCCTGATGGTTTCACACCTGCAGTTAACATGTGCCTTTTCTTCTCTACCAGATTTTTCCTGACCCTGCTGACTCAAAGAGCATTTCCCTGTCCAATGGTCATGCCTTAAATTAGCAAATTCTAGTATTGTATTAGTATTGCATCCTTCTCGTGGGCATTTAATCATTTTTGACTTTTCAATCTGAGGTCAATCTCTTTTTTGGCTAATTTTTATCTGTAAAAGAAAACCTGCTTAATAATTATGCACACCTGAAAATAAGGAGTTTCACTTTCAGGCTTCATGGACAATTATATATCACTTATAAATGATTAAATACAAAATGAATAGTAGTTATTAAGACTGGCGTGGTTTGAAATTGGTAAAATGTGCTTGCATAATTATGAACACACTGTAAACTATAAATAATCGTTGTTTGATAAACAGTCAAAAGAACATCATAAACTGTTTTCATGTGATTTCCATATAACAACACGAAATGAGTGTTGTCTGCGCTGGCATAGCTCAGCGGTTACTTTACTTGGATTTTTCTGAAGACGAGGAGGGCTCGAACCCCCAGCGCCGTCTAGCGTTTTCTGAAGACATAGGCTACATTTGACAATGAAGACGACACTCAGATTTGGACTCAAACAAACGTACTCCCTACATAACATTACGTTAGTCATCTCTCCCGCCATTGGATCGAACACAGGACTGCTATCTGGAACGAAACGGCTTTATAAAAAGTCATGCTTGTTTTATAAGACGACACATTATACGCTTAAAGTTGCTTAATTCAAACCTTCAAAAGTTTAAACATTCCACTTTCTAAAACTTAACAAAAGGCGGCGAATGAATTAAAGTTACAGAAAATGATGCATAAACTTCACGTTCCAACTTCCGTAAAACCCTGATGATACTACTACGGCCAAGGCAAGTTTCAATTAGTGATGGGAAGCCCGGCTCTTTTCAAAGATTCGGCTCTTTTAGCTCGGCTCCCTTAGAAGAGCCGGCTCTTACGGCTCCCAAATGGCTCTTCATTTAGTCCCTTCTATTTTATCCCAATTTAGCAATTGTGAATGGTTTGTGTGTTGGTAAGCAATTTTTTATCCAGTGTTTTTATAATAGCCTCATTTTTTTGTTACAAAAAAAATACAATTACTATTATTTAACATTTTAATAAAACGTTAATTGAACAATTGAACACAGAACCACAGCAAACAAATCAAATAAATAAAGGCAAAAGTCTTAACATTAAAGGGGTCATATGTGATTTCAATTTGTCCTTTCTCTTTGGAGTGTTACAAGCTCTTGGTGCATAAAGAAGATCTGTAAATTTGCAAAGACTAAAGTCTCAAATCCAAAGAGATATTCTTTGTAAAAGTTAAGAGTCAACCACGCCTACCTAAAACGGCTCGTTCTAACACGCCCCCACATGTCTGCGTCACGATGTGGGAAGATCTGCATAACACCGCCCAAATGTTCACGCAAAGAAAGAAGGCATAACTTTTATTCTGGCTGTAGTATTGTTGTTTCCACCGCCATGTCGTGAAGGCGCTGTGTTTTGTTGTGAAAGCAAAACTACTTTGTTTGGCCTTCCAAAAGAGGACGATATCCGCTTCGTCATGCCTAGAGCTGATCCGTGCTGGTTGCTGAGGAAATACATCAACTTCACGCTGTCGATTGCCGGATCGGCTTTCACCGTGGATGAAGCAGAGTCCAGCCTGTGGCCGTGTGGTTGCCGCAAGCCCGCCAGCTGCTCCTTCATCGAATCCGCCCGCCTCTGCTCACTCAAGCCTGCCTCCGCTCACTCAAGGCCGCGGTGTGTGACGCTGTTTTGTTGTGAAAGCGAAACTACTTTGTTTGATCTTCCAAAAGAGGACACGACTAGAAATCAGTGGTTAAGTTGTATTTACAACACTGTTCCAGAACAGTTCAACCCAAATATTCAGATGTGTGCAGCGCATTTTATGGAGGACTGTTTCCTGATCCTGGAAGAGTAGACTACAATGCGGCTGTTCTGACTCACAGAATGTAAGTTTTTATATTTAAAGAATTTGCCACTGACGATTCAAACGCGAGTTTTTTGGGCAGTGTAGAGTAGCGCTTGTTGTTTGTCATTTCTCCGATCACAAATGCAGACATGGTTTTATGTTTACGGTTACTACCCACCTACCCACGGTTTTCATGTTTTTGTCTCGTCGCTCTGGCCGGACACGGCATCACAGTATAGTAAGGGGTGTACAGGGGCGGATTTAGTGAATTGGGGGCCCTATACATTTGCACACATTTTCCTAGATCAACCTTGAAGTTCCATTTTGTTGTTTTCAGCGTAAGCCTGTGCAAAGGCTGTCTAATTACCTACCTTAACCAACGCGCTTGCTTTTAAATCCGGACCCCCCGCCTCTCTGTGTTGCTCTGTGTACCTGGCCTTTACCACTACACTCGCTATTTTCGGAGCGTGTGTCCCCCTTCCTTCTTTCACATTCTAGTCTATCCTCCCATGTGATTAGCCGCATGTGAATTTTTGTTTTTGTAATGAAAAAATGCATTAAAATAATGCTTTTATGAAAACACTGATTAAAAAAATTGCTTACCAACACACAAACCATTCCCAATTGCTAAATTGGGTTAAAATAGAAGGCTCCGGCTGAAGATTCGGCTCTCCCCGACGGGAGTCGGCTCTTCTACAAGAATCGGCTCTTAGAGCCGGCTCGTTCGCGAACGACACATCACTAGTGCCAATCCACAGTGATGTCCTATTGGAGTCGACTCTGTGCGCATGCGCAGAAAACCCGCTCCGGTTGCTCCTGTTGTAAACAAGGCGGCTCAACAACAGTAAACGGTGAGATAAATGAATTCACATATTTCTTTTGCTTATTTAAACACCAACTTTATGACGGCTATATGTAGATGCAAGTTAGATTCGTGTACGCGGCGCATTAATTTTTTTTTCTTTTTTTGTCTAAGCTTGCAAGATAGCACTGGTAAGTTAGCTAGCTAGCTATCCTTTCAACGTAATCAAATATAATCTCCATTTGTATTCATTATAAATCATTTTGTATGCACAATTTAGTTATTCTTGTGCATCTAATATAATATTTATTTATTTTAAAATATTTACCGTGTAATACACATCCATGTAAGGAGTGACTCCTGTTGGCCAGTTCTGTTAATAACGTTTATTATGTGTATTTTATGAAGTACCCACACACACATTTTCACAAGTATTTTCATGCTAACGTTTATATTGTTGGTTTCCTCTGTTGGATCCTGTACAGGTTTGATCAGGCTACTGGGAGTGAAGGCACATTTTACCTGTTACATACTGACAGTGGATATGAAAGGGTTTGTAGCAAATAACTAAATGTTTGAACTATACAATTTGTAATACCACCATTTTAACTACATATTCAACAATGTAAAATGTTGTGTTTTTAGACAACAGA